TTCTAAAAGAGCTGTGGCTGAGCATTGCCTGCAGTGCCTTGGGAATGTGAGCTGCTTTGCCTCCATCAAGATTCCGGCAAGGCTGCCGTGGGACCTATGGGGCACATCTAAACTCACTGACCCAAAAAGAGAGAGAGACTCAAGCTGCCCCATTTTTACCCTCCCAGATCTGTCTTGGTCTTTATTCCCAGTGCCCCGTGACCAGTAAAGGTTTATTAGGAAATAAAGGGTTCACCTTTTTATTTTTAATTTTTCCCCTTAAGAAATGCATTTGGCCACAGCGACTGCTGTCCCTGCCTCCTGTAATGAGTTGGGCTACAAGAGTCCTTGAACAGAGACTGAGTTTAAACTCGTTCACCTTTTTATTTTTAATTTTTCCCCTTAAGAAATGCATTTGGCCACAGCGACTGCCGTCCCTGCCTCCTGTAATGAGTTGGGCTACAAGAGTCCTTGAACAGAGACTGAGTTTAAACTGATCGATGGCATTTGGGGGTTGGAAAATTACACAGGAGCCAGCTAATTTATAATGTCATATTGGCTAGACTGGAAGACCCAAGAGGATAGGCTGTCTCTTGACTTTTTATTTCTTCTTTTCTAAAAAAAAGAGAGAAAACACAAAGTGCCATGTTTGGCTATTGAGCATTCTGGGGTGGACACTGCCCCTGCTAGACCCTCCGGAGATAGGGGATGTTCCTTCTCTTGTTCCCCCCTTTCTTCCCGAAGACCTCAGCAGCCGCACCATAGCATGCCAATGCATGCCACCACTGCTGTCTTCCATCCTCTGTCACTCTGATGCCTGCTCCTGCAGTTGCTGAGTTCTGCCTGCCTCTAACTAATTTGCAGAGGACACCTGCTTCTTAATTAGCCCCGGCTCGCAGTCTGCTTCATCTCATGGTATGCGTCTTCATCTGGGCTCCCTCCGATGCCCGAGCTAGCGGCCCGTGAAAGGGCTGCTGCTTGGCAGTCTGTGCGTGTTTGCTGCAACTAAGTGGTCCCTGAGCCTTCCTGAGTGCTACAGCCGGTCTGCACTCCTGAGCATTAAAAGAAAAAGAAACACATCCCAGGCACCGTCCAGCCATGGTTCTCACAGCTGTTGGCCACATCCTCCAGAACAGCCCTTCACTGCCAGTTCCCACTCTGAGGACAGACCTGCTGTCCCCAGAACTGGGTATGAGACCACACAGTTGGTGTGACCCCCATTCTGACTCCTCTAGAATCACATTCTCCTTCACTCAGTGAGCACCTTGCATGTGCTGCTCCCTCAGGCTCGTGGAGGTGTGTCTGCAGGCTTGGTCTCTTTAAACAGAGGGATGCCCTTAGCAGGCTGGGATTCAAACCTACAGGGTTTTGCAAAATGGGCCCTTGTGCGTCCTAGGATCTTGACAGACATCCACCAAGAAGGATAAAGATGGACTCAGCATCTGAGAAAGGACCCCTGGGGGACAGGACCCAGCAGCCTGCAGTAGCAGCTTTCTCTGCCTGCTCTAGGGGATGGTTCTGCTGCCCCCCTGTTTCTATATAGTGGAGCCTTCTAAAAACCAGTCTTTGAGCTTCTAAGATGAGATCTGGCCTCCCATAAGACACCCCCAAGAAGATTTCTAGCCCTGCAGCTGGAGTACCATGTTTTCAGCTGGAGGCATCACAGGTCAGAGGTGAGCCACCTGAACACCAGAGCGCACCAGGAGTCCAGCTTCCAGCAGGCCACAGTTATTGGGAAACATCTGTGGCAAGTAGCTTAGTATTTATTCTTTTGACTTCTCCCTCTCCATCCTTCAAAAGAGAAATTCATCAGTGGAAAGTTTCCCTGAGGTGGTAA